GGAGTTCGGTCTTAGAGGAAATGGGTTACTCTGTACGTAGTATCTGGAAGCACCAATTCGATCAAGAAGTACACAGAGATGTGTCATAACAAAATTTTGTTCGACATCTGGACATTCCGAGAGGTCTTCTACGGAGGCCGGACCAATGCTAAACGCTTGTATTGTGAAGGAGACATGAGATATGTGGACGTCTGTTCCTTATACCCTTACGTGTAAAACACAGACCTTTTCCTCTGGGTCATTTTCAGATCATTACAGACCAATTTCAGGATGTGAGAAGTAATTTCGGCCTCATTTACTGTCGGGTCTTACCACCCCAAGGCCTCTATCATCCCGTTCTATCTTATCGCACGAGACGCAAGTTATTATTTTCATTACGCATAACCTGTGCGGAACGAAATGACTCTACATCCAACATCGATGCCAACACACGGACCAGGAACGCAGTCTCTCGGGCACCTGGGTGACTACGGAATTACACAAAAACCTGGACATAGGATATAGTTAGAGCGCATTTACGAGGTTTTGGATTTTCCAGAAAGCAGTAAAGATTTATTAAGACCATACATCGATATCTTCTGAAAGATCAAACAGGAAGCTTATTGGAGGGCTGCTGTTGCTCCGGAACGGTGACCGAAATGGTATGGAACGTCTGTGGGTCGTCTGTCCGCTCTCCGGTTGTGAAATGTGTGTCTATCAGCTCTCCGGTTGTCATATGGTTGTCCATCGGCTCTCCGATTGTCACATGGTTGTTTACCGGCTCTCCGGTTGTCAGATGGTAGTCTATTGGCTCTCTGGTTGTCAGATGGTACTCTATTGGTTCTATGTTGTCAGATGATTATCTATCTTGATCGCCTATTCTGAAACCAGATGCTGCTCATCTGGCTATTTCTTCCCCAGTCACTTCGGATGCTGCGATAGTAAAATAAACAAACTTAAATGTTATATTTGGGAACAAAAGAAACTGGTGGAGTGTTCCCGTTGCTTACTACAACACTAGGTGAATGACACAGGGACCTGGCAAGTTGCCGCATTCATGCAAACAGCGCGACCCTAATACAAAACACTCTAAATGCCCGTATGTTACAGAGAAAATAAAATCATGGCGAAGCCAAATCGAGCTATCTTGTGTTTTTGGATACATACATTTGGGAGAATAACTAGTTATAGGATTAGAAATTGTTTCAAGCATCCTTCCCATAAGACGAAGGTAAGTTTGGAGCATGATTTAACAGTATTTTTGATACATGACATCCGTCGTTTAAAACACTCATTTATGTCGAAGCGACGAGGTAAAATTCGGTGACAGAAATGCACAAAACATGTATATAAATCATCTTAGAGTGTGATACAAGGAAATACTACTATATTTAATTGGATTGGACATAGGAAAGGGTTATTTCTAAGTCAGATAAGTGTAGAAATAAAGCCAGCGTCTGTTTTCCCATAGATAAGGTATGGGTAGGTCGACCATTTTGGTTTTAGAAACGCTATAGAAATATATATACAGAATATATATATAGAGAGAGAGAGAGAGATAGAGAGATACGATTTTTTAAATCTTTACCCTTTCTGGTTGGAATTTTTAGATAAACAGAATCGGTATAAACTTTGTTTCAAGTGGAAAAGGTTACGCAGCACTGTTAAGGCGTACTTCGAAGAAATCAACAGAATATAAACGTGCATAAATACATACCTTTTTAAAATGAATTTTAATTTTATAAAGGTACTATATTATCTTATGACTTTAACATTCTTTGAAATAACATTGTATACCCCGCTCTATACTGAATTTGGTTTGGTCACGTTATTTGATAGTCACGTGATAAATGCATGTAATGTGTACTGTATGTAGGTCACAAACAAATTTCAATATCGCAAGGGCATACCCTAGTTAAAATTAAAAATTAAAGTAATAGATTGTTTCTACATAACTTGTAGTTTATGGAAAGTGCTGCTGCTTTAAATAGAATTCGCATTTTAATAGTTTAAATTTCAAGTTATCTTGCTAATGTCGAAATATGTGTGACCTTTACCAAGTATTTTATGTATTTATTAAGTTATGCTATCGATTTCAGGAAAGCAGCAGCACTTTTCAAGTTAAGGAATACGTCCATTATGTGTATTCAAAAAATGGTCAAGATCTATTAAGTGTATGCCCTTGCGAAAAGGCGATTTAATGAGGCACCTCGGCGTGAAACATGCACACCCTGTAGACAAAATCACGGTAGAATTAATTCAATACATTCTCTCGATATTTTTTAAATAATGGCACTAAACAAACGTTTCAGATTTGTATTAATGGTCTACCTAAGATTTTCAAATAATATTCTGTTTAATAATAAAATGCATTTTTCTTTTTGAAAGAATTACATGATCCGCCTCTCACTGCACATAAAATGCGTCAAACTTTACCATGATGACGTCATGTCGACAAGTGCATTGCGATCAGTGACTTGTTTATATCTTGCTGTGTGGGATTTAACTAGCGACAAAAATGAATGCAGTGGTAAGTTTTGATGTAGTCCATTACTCCGATGCAGTTTAGATTCGCAAATTATTTCATTTTCTGTTATTGTGAGGATTTGCTATATTTGTGTGATGTCACAGTAAACTTTTCCCGTATAAATTAGGCCCCGCCCCCTTTATGCAGCCTTAACAGAGCTGCGTAGATGTTTTTTTTTTTGTTTTTTTCCAAAATAACAATATAAACACACAACGTTTAACATAGGGTTGAAGACACACCGGGATGAATTTTTTTATGAATCCTGAGCTTCGGAGAATAGTATTTTTAGATAAAGAAATTCGGATTACTCTGAAAGCAATCTGTATCTACCTTGTTTGAAGTGGGAAAATTTAGATTGTTAAATAATCAAAGATTTTATAGACTCGGCATCTAACACATATACCGGTACATGATCACGTCATTTTTTAACAAATAAAGCAATGACATTTTCTGGTTTTCATCCCTAAAAAACATTTTTTAAAAAGATCTCTTTAACACAGGGCCAAAGAGTTGTTCCTGTTGTCGAATTCTTCTCTGAAATCGTAATCGTTCTCCTATCATAGCCACCCATTCACTTTTTCTGTCTCCGGATAGTAAATAGTAAATTTGATTGAGGCTGGTATCAAAAGTCACACACCTGTCTCGTTTAGTTTCTTTGAAATTTCCACATATTTCATCCCGCATTGAGTACAAATTTTCTCCATGGCTTCTATTTCCTTCCACAGTAGAAAAAATTTCTCCCCTTGGAGATGACAAAGGAAACTTAGATATTGGTCCATGGTCACCCCGTACATTTTCTCAGTCAGACTGGTTTTGATGCGTTGACAAAGGTGATGTAGAATGGCTAGTCTCCCCACTGTGGGATGGTCTAGCAGGCACAGGCATTGCAACCATAAGACCCGAGTGTTTTCTATTATGCTGGTAGCTCTCTGGAACACTTCTTTTCTGCTTCTGGGGGAGAGATTCTTGGTCTTGCTCTACACATCGCATTAAAAAATCATAGCCTTCTAAAACCAAGGAGTGATAGTGTTTACGTGTTGACCTGATCGTCAATTGTGAAGAAATGACACGAACTTATTTATACCTGTTTCAAGGTGTGTTTATAAATCAATTGGAAAAACCAATTAATTAAAACTCTTGTGCTTTTTTAGAAGTACATGTATACACAAATGTATATAAAGCATACCCTTTGCACACAACACGCTGCGCTTGCTGCACCCCCCCCCCCCCCCCCCGACTCGGCACTAAGTAGCATAAAGTAGACCCAGAAAAGCAATGTAAACCAGAGCTGGGAGTGAAATCCTCATCTTTCTTAGTGAGCACTTCAAAAAAGACAGACATGAAGATGGCACAAGCAAGGCTTAATTCGACGGAGAATCCTAACTATGTTCCACCACAGAATTGGACATGTTTTGCCTAAAAGACAGGATCCCATTCGATTAGAACTGGGGCTGTACAACATACAAATCCAAGAACAAAGAGGATTTAGGCATCTTGACCACCAGTTTGGATGGGATTGTGAACAGTCTCCATATGTTAAGACAGGAGGTCACAAGTGTATTTTGTTTGTTACGTGCGCAAATGGACAGGTTGGAGACAAAGTACTAGCATCCAGGGCAGAGTGAGAGGAACTTACAAGGAAAAAGATACAGGAGAAACAGAAGCTAAGAAAAGGACAAAAGAGACAGATCCTTGCTTTTAATGTAAAGAGTTGGGATATTGGGCCAGTGACTGCCTGGATGACAGTGAAGAATTCTCAAAGAGGTGGGGAAAGAAAGAGAAAAAGACCAGTCAGGAATGCAAGGAGACAAAGACAAGCCATCAGGAGAAAAAGAGGTGCGAAAACCATATTCCGACCTCTGTGGGGGAGGTAAACAACAAAAAGAAAAACCCTAACACCCAGCCAGAGTAGAAGCAGCTACTGAAACCCCAGAAGAAAAAGTGGCCTTTTAAAAAAGACAATGTATTAATATTGTTATTCAGTGATTAAAATGCTTAATAAATGACTTAAATTTGAAATTCAGTGTTATTGTTTTTATTTCAATGCGTTAGTGCGTCAAAACAGCTGGAGAGGCTGTGAGTGAATAGCGTGACGTCACAATGCATTGGTAGCTGTGACTTAAATCGTTGCTAAGTTTGTATATTGCCTATGAACTGACTTAGCGCCTTTAGAGACGTACAGATAATGTGCCCTAAAACGTACTTATAGAGCTGGTTTTTTTCCAGATTAGGGGAAGGGTGGTTGGGGTTTTCCAGGGTGTGTACTAGATTGACCTCCCTATCCCACAGGGGATAAGTGCACTCAGTTCATCTCCCCAGCGGGGCGCCTTATACTACTGTTTTTCGTTTCTTTGATATTTTTGTCAACAAACTTATTTGAACACACTGTCAAATGTACATTGATATAATTCAGTGTTTGTAATTATTTTCATCCCTTTCTTTCTTTCTTCTTCTCTCTATGGTTTGTAAGGTACATATTCCATCCTTTACGTACCTAAGGTTCCCGTAGCAGGTCCAGCCAAAAACAGTCGATACTTCCCTGCCTCATCGGAAACAGAGAATCGATTGTACAACTCGTACAGTGTTGTACCATTCACTAATGTGATGGAAACATAGAGGGAGGAGTTATTTCCCTTTGTTAATTGATGGATTACGTCATTCCCTGTATGAAGTTATATATGAATTTAATTGTTTAGTGTACTGCAACACAATGATTTTTTTTTTCATATTGTAAATAAATATATCACAAAGTAGAATGATATATTACACTAAAACTACGAGTATATGATTAATAACTTATCCTTTAGTGTGGTTCATATATGGATATTGAATTAAATTTTTGTTAGTTTGAGAGACTGAGTTTTGTCAAATCAGCATTTTTCTTTTATTTAAATATATTAATTTTAGAGTTCAGTTACAAGCGGTGAATGAAAATTTTCGAATACATATAATCTTGTTTTAAAATGAAATCATTTATTTCCTGCCAAATCTGAAATTTCAGTACAATAAAAATCTGTAGCGGATTAAAGATTTGAATTTACCTATCCAGACGTTCCGTTCAGGTGCACCAAAACCATTCTTATAATCTGTCCAATTCTGTTCAAAGGTCAGGGATCCGTCTACTCGTTTTTGAATTGCCTTCAAAAAGATATTTACATGTAATTTACCCACGCAAGGATTTTCGGATGTTCTATATTAATCGCTCTGTCTGTCTGTCTGTTCGTTCTGTCATTCTTCCGTCCACAAAATTTCACCTTTTTTCTAATAACGGTTTAGCTCATCTGGGCTGAAAGCTCAAGTGAGCTTTTCTGATCACCCGTTGTCCGACAGTCCGTCTGCAAACTTTTTCAACTTCTTCTCGAGAACCACGGCCAATTTTTACCAAACCTGGTACAAAGCATCTTTGGGTGAAGGAGAGTTTAAATTGTTAAAATGAAGGGCCAAGCCCCCTTCAAAGAGGAGATAATCAAGAAAAGAAAAAAATTGGGTGGGGTCGTTAAAAAAATTTTCTTCTAAAGAACCTCTGGGCCAGAAAAGCTGAAACTTGTGTGGAAGCATCCTGGGGTAGTGTAGATTCTAAATTCTATAAATCATGACCCCCGGGGGTAGGGCGGGGCCACAGTAGGGATCCAAGTTTTACATTGAAATATGTAGTAAAAATCCTCTCAAGAACCTTTGGGTCAGAAAAGATGAAACTTATGTGAAAGCATTTTGTGGTAATGTAGATTCTAATTTGTTCAAATCATGACCCCGGGGGTAGGGCGGGGCCACAATAGGGAATCCAGTTTTACATTGAAATATGCAGGAAAAATCTTTAAAAATATTTTTTCCCAAGAACCACTGGGCCAGAAAGGCTGAAACTTATATGGAAGCATCCTGGGGTAGTGTAAATTCTAAATTGTTCAAATCATGACCTCCGGGGGTAGGGCGGGGCCACGATAGGGAATCCAAGTTTTACATTGAAATATGCAGGAAAAATCTTTAAAAATCTTCTGAAGAATCACTGCGCCAGAAAAGCCGAAACTTATGTGGAAGCATTCTTAGGAAGTGTAGATTCTAAATTGTTCAAATCATGACCCCTGGGGGTAGGACGGGGCCACAATAAGTACTACAACGGGGGAAATCAGGTGAAAAACAGCAAGGCCAAAGCGTTACTCAGGTGAGTGTTGTGGCCCATGGGCCTCTTGTTTATGGTTGTCTAATTCCATTCAAATTGTGTATGTTGGTTCATTTGACTGTAAGATAAATTTTGATACTAAGTTTGGTTCTCTGTGTCATCCGCATTGGAGCTGGGGTGGTGGGTAAGATTCCTTAACTTTATGTAAAAATGAATGGGCAAAGAGAGATAATTGTTGAGAATGTTCCTATTGTAAACTATGAAAGCTGCAATGAGTCTTGTGGGATTAATTGACTTGAATCCTGAAGAAAATCCTTGGCTTTATCTCCATCTATCACATTGATATTAACACCTCTGTCTGAAAATTAGGGCTGTGTCAATATATCATTGGACCACAAAATCAATGATTCCAGTTAACAGGATATAAACTACATACCGTCCATCCTCCGTTCATTGTGTCCATATCACAATAAACTCGGACTGGACAGGAGCCGTTTCCAAAGGGATAAATTTCGAACACCCCTGTATTAGTATGACCATCATTACGGAGGTCCTTACAATCTACTGGAAGATCTGAAACAGAAAAAATACTGAAGTCAATTTTAAAATTTAAGGATGAGTACACATTCCAAATAAATATGTAACGAATGCACCTTTATACACGAAGTAAGAAGTAAATATACATGTGAACACTGGCCCTAAGCAGATACTCAGGTGTATACACGCACTAAGCAGTAGATACAAAGGTGTATACAGGAACCATGAAGTAAATACGCAGGTGATACAGGCACTATGAAGTAGAAACACAGGTTATACAAGCACTATGGAGTAGATACAGAGGTGTATACAGGCACTATGAAGTAGAAACACAGGTGATACAAGCACTATGGAGTAGATACAGAGGTGTAAACAGGCACTATGAAGTAGAAACACAGGTGATACAAGCACTACGGAGTAGATACAGAGGTGTATACAGGCACTAAGACGTAGATACACAGGTGATACAAGCACTATGGAGTAGATACAGAGGTGTATACAGGCACTATGAAGTAGAAACACAGGTGATACAAGCACTATGGAGTAGATACAGAGGTGTATACAGGCACTATGAAGTAGAAACACAGGTGATACAAGCACTATGGAGTAGATACAGAGGTGTATACAGGCACTAAGACGTAGATACACAGGTGTATATAGGTACTGAGAAGTAAATGCACATTTGATAAAGGCACTAATTAGATAAATGTACTAAGACGTAGATACACAGATGTATACAGGCACTAAGAAGTAGAAAACACAGGTGTATGTAAATACACAGGTGTATACAGGTACTTAGTAGTATATACACAGGTGTATACAGGTAATAAGAAGTAGATACACAGGGGTATACAGGTAATAAGGAGTAGATGCACAACAATTGTATAATATATTAAAGTTGTAAGGTTTTATGGTATGGTCACCCGTAATACATTTAGAACTCTAGATAATTTAGATAACTTAGATAATTTTCTTAGAACTAGGAATTCTTTATTGCAACGAATATAAATTTTTAACCAAATTGTAAGATAGATCCAATATAAGAATCACAAAATATGATAAATGAAAAATTAATTTAGATTAAGCGCCAGAAACGAGTAAATTTGAAGTTATTCCGTTAAATAAAATTTCAGAATTAATATAAATGAATCGCTTAGATCTGCTTCAATTGCAATTATAAGCGCTGAAACGTTTAACTAATACTTATATTTCATATTTTGTGAGAGAAAGCAATACATACGGTGAGGAGAGTAGTATCTCCATCCGGTCTCTTCTGACATCCCGGAAGTGAAGGTCCTCCGGTGTACACGACACTTCTTCAGACTCGGATTATAGCCATAGAAGCTACATGGGCACTCTCTTAGACACTTCAGGCCACACTCGATCAACGACTGAGAGCTGCGTTCTCCTAATAGTTCATTATTTGATATTTTATTATCAAATTCCAGTTTTGCGATATATTTTAACGAAGTAATGCTAGTTTGTGACACAGTAAAAAAGACGACAATTAAACAAATAACACAAAGATTACTCATAGTCTCCTCTGTGTTTAGAACAAAACACTGCGTTTCTGTAAGAATTTGCAAATTGATGCTTCAGCCGCAGAGTATAAATACCAGAGCATTGATCTATTACGGAAAAGTGATTGGCTGCTCGTGACATATTCTGTATTTTACTAATCACTGAAATATCGATTTTTTGGATGGAAATGATAGGCGGTCCTAAGCAGAAATTACGAAATCTGATAAACATAAACATTGCAATGAAATGTCTAACATTCATAGCATTGGAAGATCCTATGTGAAAAAGACGATAATATATCTTTTCTGCATTTATAGGAAATTCTGAAGACTCGATTCTAATTTACCACGTCCGTACATAACAGTTTCCAGGTTAAATAAAGTGCCCAGCCACAGCATTATACGCCCGTCAAATATTGTTCAGTTATCATAAACGGTTTAGAGTGCAAGAAAATCATGTCAACCTTGATACAAAGATTTCAGTGATTTTCCAATCCCTTCAATGTTTGATGTACATATTTCTTCTGAGATGTGGGTATTAATTATAACATTTAATACATCATATATATCTCAACTGGCTGTGTTAGAACTTAACAAATGCCCGTCTGCAGCTTTGTTTATTGTTTATTTTATGATTGATTAACAATGCTACAGTCTAATAAAACATCAAAACAAATTGTAATGAAATTGAATAATCAAAGTGAATTAATTGAAAGGCGCCTGGAATCATCCAATCGAATCATTTTATATTTAGCCAATCAATGTTTACATTTCAGCCAAACAGAGTTTTCCAATTATTAACCAATCAATAGTAATTAGACAGAGGCTAAAAGGTATAAATACAGAGACCCATCCAAGTTTTCGTTTACTTGGTCGTTACTTATTGCTAGAGTAACACGTCTTAAGGTATTCAATGTAAATGATGGGATATTGAACACTTTTGAATCATTTTAAACCAGTGAATTATGCATTCCTAGATAACGATGAAAGTGAAATGAATCAAATTCACATGACTAATAAAATATATGAAGACGGCCATTTTGCACCTTAAACGTGTTTGAAGAGTTATCTGCCCTTGATGAAAAGAAGAACATTTAAATTTTATCAAGATATCTGTGATAAATGATACATTTTATTTCATATATTGATAAAGAGAGAGTTTTTGACCAAGAGATTTATATGAAGTTCAAATTACTTTTTACAATATCTTAATAACAAATGAGCTGCCCATAGACTTCAATGTAAAATTCAACGTGCAATTAATTGGACAATAATCAAAATTTTGTAAATTTCTTTGTTGAAGTATTTTTATTTGATAACACCTTCAAAATGCTACCGTGATTATAAATATCGGACCATTCATTTATAAGGTATAAAATATGGTCGTTATACCATTGAATACTTTAAGGCTGGGTTCTTGGGCTGTGTCGGGAAACAGCAGAATTGTTTGTTAGACCACTCAGCTCAGGGATCTAGTTCCTTAGTGTATCAGTGACTACCGTCTTGGTGACTTGAGATTGTGTCTTGGTGTGTTTTAGGTTAGTTGCAGACTGTTTCGGGAAACAACAGAATTGTTGGTTAAACCACCCAGTCTGCAGCTACAGGGAAAACGTTATAGATTTGATTAGTGGTAATTCATTTGTTCGTTTTCATTTAGTTTACTAATCATTATCCAGATAGGACCAAGGAAAAGTATATATAGTGGATCACAGGACGAAAGATCATCTTTAAGCAATCGCTTAATGGTGGCTTATAGAAGTTACTTCCTTTAAGTTGAACCTAATTAAACCACCTTAACACATCATTTATCAAGTCTTGAAACTAACTTGCTAAGCTTAAAATTGTTTCAATATATCATTTACGCAAATTCTTATTCAATTATAATTTTGTCTCCTATTTCTAACATCTTTGTCAATGCGTATAAACTCGGCACTGAAAAGAGCTTCAGCAAATGCCTTAAAATTTTAGCTACTAAAATCAGTTTGTTTAAAACTTGTTTTAAAATTGTTTTTATCCATCACTCTATTTTTCTTTCGTATTTGGAGAGCCAGGTTCCGCTGCCGAATTCATAGGAAATATTGTAATATAGAGTCATTTTCTTCTGGAAAAAAAGATATATTATCTCTCAGTCTCTTAATTTTTTGGGGGGTAGAGAAATGTTTAACATATAAGAAAACATATAGGTATAGTTTATTTTGCCAATCATTGAATTCTATCATGAATAATTTGAATTAATTCGTGGTTAAATGCCATTATTTTTTCCCCTTTAAAATAATACAGAAGTAAGAATTTATCAAAATATAGTCGATCTTCAATGATTGTTATTTCAAAATCGATTTTCAGAAGAACAGTCGATCAGATTAAACATGACATCCGACCAGATTTATACACATTGGGAAGCGGGGTAAAATAAACAGTGTACGGTATATCGACAGGTTAGACATTAGACCTTAATTAGGTGTCCCCACCAGCCCTGTGTCAGCTAACAGGAAACTATACAAAACGAACAGTGATGGATTTTGATGATCAATTATTTTTACAAAACTTAAAATTAAACGCAAGCATATAACAATTTAAAAATTATGATTCTAGGTAAAGAGACAATTATTTTTATACCTATTGTGAAATAAAAAGAATTTAAACTGAAGATGATATGTTAAAAAAATATTTTATAAACGTAAGAGTTACGCAAAGATTGTCAATTATTTAAATACAAAAAAGCGTAATTATCCGCAGCAGGTGTGCACAACAAAAGGAAGTGAATTACAATAACGATCACAAATCAGGTACTGAATTATCAGAACAGCTTTCAGAGACAGACTCGGACACCGGAAATGAAGTTGTGATCACGGAAAAAAAGAAAAGAAAGAAGAAAGTAAGAAAGAAGGTTAAGACAAAGAAAAATAAATAGAAATGATGGTTATAAACTCTCTTCTCTCTTTCTTAATAATGGTTATTTTGACATCTTGGAACTGTAATGGATTGTGTGATGTTTATAAGATGAAAGTGGTATTTGCTTTATTTGAAGAAAGAAAATATGACATTATTGGTTTACACGAAACGCATTGGAAAGTTGAATTTATTGAAAAATATAAACATTTGTGGAATGGTATTGTACTATATAGCAATTTTGACACAGCATCAAAGGGTGTAGCATTTTTAATTAGAAATGAAGTAAAAGATAAAGTCCAATTTATTAAAGGATTTCATGGTAGATATTTACACATAACTTTTAATGAAAATAATGAAAACATAGATGTTATTAATATTTATGCACCAAATTATACAAAAGAAAGGGCAGCATTTTTTCAATCTATTTCACACATTATTCCTCAGTCTAATAATTTATTGATATTGGGAGATTTCAATAATTCTCTCTCAGAGTTAGATAGGTCAGGAAAGACAATTCATGTTTATGATCAGTCCTATAAAGCCCTTTATAGTTTGATGAGTGAACGCAATGTTGTTGATTTATGGAGGAAAAGGAATAGTAGGGTAAAAACATTTTCTAGGAAGTAAGTTATAGAAAGTGTTTTAGTTCAGTTTGAAATACAAGATTAAAAAATTTTTACAGAGTTTTAGCAAAAGTAGAGCAAAAGAAAGAAATAAAGAATATTACAGATTACAAAACAGTATTAAAAGATTGTCACAAAATATTGCAGAAGGTATGAATATTAGCATAGAGAAATATGAAGCTTTAAAACAAGACCTGTCTGATTTTGAATTAGAGAAATGCCAAGTACCAATATTAAGGTCAAAAGCAAAATGAGCGAATGAATCTGACAAATATAAAATATGTTTCGAACCTAGAGAAATCTAGACAAGAAAGAATTATTAGATGATTAAGGTATTACAAAATCAGACATAGAATCAATTTTAGATAATAGAATACAATTTTTATTCACAGTTATATTCATCAGTTAAAACAGATGATGAAAGCAGAAGATATTTCTTATCATTTATGAGTAGAAAAATGAATGAAAATGGTATTGAATTGTGTGATAATGTTATAGATAAAAATGAAATTGATAATGTAGTAAAAGAAATGGCAAACAATAAAAGCCCTGGGTCTGATGGATTGACAGTATAATTTTATAAAGCTTTTTTGCCACAGTTGAGTGGAATTTTATTTAAGGTATTCAAAGAAGTTGAAGAACATGAAAATCTTTCACATTCAATGAAAATGGGAATTTTAACATTGTTATACAAGAAAAAAGGTGATAAAAAACTTTTTAAAAATTGGAGACCTATACGTCGATTACAAGATAATAGCAAGGGTGATGTCAAATAGATTAAAACATGTTTTACCAAACATTATATCTGAAAATCAAACTTGTTGAATTAGGGAAGAGATATTGCTGACACTTTCAAAAGTATAAGAGATGTTATTGATTTAGTTGATATGGATAATATTGAGGGTTATGTAGTAAAAATTGATCAGGAAAAGGCCTTTGATAGGGTTAGTCATGAGTATTTGTTTAAAGTTTTAGAATTATTTGGATTTGGACCATATTTTAGAAAATGGATACGTATTTTTTATACTGACATACATAGTAGTGTAAAATGTAAGGGATTTTAACTAGATATTTTCCAATCAAGAATTCAATGAGACAAGGTTGTCCAATATCTGCTTTGTTATATGTTTTATCAGCGGAACCATTAAGCTATGCTATTAAACAAAACGAATTAATAAGGGGTATTCCAATTCCAATGTCAAATAAGACAGGACTATTGTTTCAGCATGCAGATGATACAACATTGACTCTCTCTGACAAAACATCTTTTTTGGAAGTTTTAAAAATTTTTGATTTGTATGGAAAAGCATCCGGGGCCAAAATTAATATTGAGAAGTCTGAAATAATGTGCATAGGAATTGGAAATATACTCGAACATGAAAAAATATTATTAAGTATTTTTCAAACAAATGTCATGAAAATACAGGGTATTTATTTTGGTAAAAATAGAATAGAATGTGAACATCTGAATTGGGGAGATAAAGTGCAAACAATCAAACA